GAAGATAAGTGCAATGAATCCAACAATGATTCAGGGTGAGCGGTCTGTCAGGGAGACATACCATCTCGAGGCTTCAAGCTTTAGATTGAGTAAATGTAATCATGTTGAAAGGAATTGTTTCATCTTCGGGTTTTTGAACCCTGTGGGGATGGTTTTGGTTGCCTTGGGGAGGCTATGGTATGCTCGAGAATGTGGCCATGTTGCTCAAGTTATTTGGCGTGAGAGGAGTGGTAAGGAATGATTTTGAGGACAAAATCTAATTTAAGTGAGGTGCCACCGCCATCATCCCGTTGCCGATTAGCAAACTACCGAGCATCTACTCCACCAGACTTATGCCACTATTCTCCTTTTCCTTCTTCAATCGCTGCCATGTGAGGCCTTATCCACCACCCACTACTTTGCCATTGGAGCGCCACCACAACTGTCGGTGCGCTATTGTTGCCGCTGCTGTTGAGGCCGAGGATGAATACAAACGTTGGGATGTCGGGAATGAAGACGAACAACCCACCGGTCGCTGTTAATGTTGGCTGTAGCGCTACTGCCCCGCTGCCGCCCGTTTCCGTTGAAGACAAGGTTGTCACAGATTTCTCGTGGATGGCTTAGTCGGAGATGTTGTTCGTGTCTGTGTGTTGCTTTTCCTCTGTGAGCTGCTGCCAAACGCGGTGACCGCCGATGGTGCCGCCATTGTTGCTGTTAGTGCTGCTGCCACTCTCTACCGCCGTCGCTGTATGCCACCATGTGGGTGGCTGGGTTTTGTTGCGAATAGGAAGCATGTGTGTGCTTTGTTGGCTAGAATTCTCGAGAACAGCCACCACCACCACCACCGTGAGGTGGTGGTTGTCACTATGTACCACCACCGGCCACACAAAGGTGGTTGTATGTGTGTTTATGTTAGTGAGTGTGTGTATTAGGATTTGTGTCTAAATTGTAATTAGTGCTACTGTAATCAAAAGAAAAACTCAAAACCACCACCATGAGGTGGTGGTTGTCGGCTCTTGCCGCCACCAATTGCCATGTTGGGTGGCGGTGTGCTTTAGCTTATGATTAGTTTGCTTTTGTGATGCTTGGACTTAATCGAACTAGAACCATAACCACCACCGTTGACCACCGCTACCCGAGGTGGTAGTTGGTGGTACTTGACGTAGGAAAACCCTAATGATACTAATGAAATCCTAATGGGCCTAAGGACTTAGCTTTTGAGCCTAATTGGATTGTGTTGGGTTGGAAACCCTAATTAGGGTTTGGAAAACCCTAATTTGGAATGTGTATTTTGGATTTGTCGGGACCCGCATTTGGACCATTGGATTTTGGATTTTGAATTAATCCTGACCACATTATATGATTGACCCAATAGATTGATGGAATTAATGGATTAAGTCCTTAATGGGTTAAGTAAGAAACACTTAACCCTAATCGTCATTTTATGTGAAAACCCTAATCTTGGTTGGGCCTTTCTATTGGGTTTTGGTGATTGAGCTATTGATGGGCCATTCAAGAATAATCATATGGACTAAGAATATATGGATGGGCCTTAAGGTAAGGCCTATGTGAGGGTTTGGGACCAATTTGGAAAATTGTGCCATAGATGGGTCATAACTGGGCCTTAAGGATTATGAGAGGTTGGGCCATTGGAATACTAAGTGGTTAGACTGGACTAAATGGTTGGGCCTTAAGATAAGCCCATGTAGTGGTTTGGGCCCAATTTGGAAAATTGGGCCATGTGTTGGGCTTTGGTCCATAGTTTGACTTTCGTGCCTTTGGATTGGGCCTTGGACTAAATAAAGCTAAGTTAAGGGTAAAGTGGTCTTTTTTACCCCAAGCATGGACTTATGGTTATGTATTGGAACCCAATTATTAATTGGGTGTAGTTTTGATGTTGACAGTTTGGGAACCTGTCAACCAGCAGCTAGAGTTTTATCCACGAGACTTCAGGTGTGCGAGGTGAGTCTCCTCACCATATCGATGGGTCTAAGGCACCAAGGCTAGACCATTTTATGATATGTGGTACATTAGGTGAAGTAGTGTTATGTGGCATGTTAGCTGGTTATATGTTAGGAGGTATGCTAGTTGTATGTGTGTTATACTTGTATGGAAGACCATGGGAGAGACCATGACACTTGGATGTAAGACCATGTGGAGAGCCCATGTCTTTCCTATTAAAGACCATGTGGGAGCACATGATACTTGGATGTAAGACCATATGGAGAGCCCATGCCTTACTTACTAAAGACCATGGGGGGATCCCATGACACTTGGATGTAAGACCATGTGGAGAGCCCATGGCTTCCCTATTAAAGACCATGGGGGAGCCCATGGCACTTAGGTGTAAGACCATGCGAGGAGCCCATGACATGCTAGAGTAAGACCCTGGGGGAGCCCACAACATCCTTATATGTTTATATGATTGACTTGTGTATGCTAGTTGATTATGTGACATGTGGTACGATAGTTGTTTATGACAATATGTGATATGCTAGTTGTCTTTGTAATACTTGAATGGAAGACCCCGGGGGAGCCCGTGGCAGTTGGATATCAAACCATATGGGGAGCCCATGGTAATCCTTATATGTTTATATGCATGACTTAGGTAATTGTTATGGTTTATGTAGCTTCTATACCTAATACGAATTATATGATTATGTGGATTATGTGTGTATGCTCTGGGGTACTCACTAAGCTTCGTGCTTACAGTTTTGTTTGTGGTTTTAGGTATCATTGTTTTGGAAAGAAGGCTCAGCTTGATCGCAGCACACACACCCGTGTTTTCCGCATTATGTGATTTTTGGACGAACTCTAATGAATGTTTTACTTAATGATGATTTGAAATGTTTGAAATAAATGGTATCAATGTTTTAACAATATTAAAAATGAAAATTCTACCGTTGATTTTTGGGTCGTTACGATGTGGCTAACGTTGATAAATTATTACGAAATTAGGGCAAAAATAAAAGAAAATATAAAATACATCTCAGAGTTTTAGGGCTTATTATTTATTTGTTCACCTATTTTATTTATTTTATTTTAAACAAAATGTTACAAGGGAAAAACAAAGGCTTGATCCTGCATATCATCCATGATTTTATTTGTTTTGATGATTTTGGGATACTCTTATCTATGATAATGATTTCTTGGAACTTGTTTTGTATACTTATGGATTTTAGGATGTTTTTAAAATTGAAAATTTTTCGATTATTTTTGGGATGTTACAAAGAAGAGCCAACATCAACCATAAAATTTACATTTTATAATTGGCACCCAAAATTCTAAAATACCATAATCATAACAAAGAAATCATACTTAACCCGATGGAGTAATTTAAAGATGGACCGATTCAAATATATAATTCATATAAGAAGAAGAAATTATTTAACGATGGACCGATTCAAAAAGATGATTAAGATAAAAAGAAGAAATTAAGCAGTTTATGACAAATATGATGGTAAAATTGAATCCAACCAGATTAAAGAACGATTTAAGAGGAGACAAAAATATTCGACAACATTTGTTTTACCTATTGTTGGCTAACTGATACGTAATTAGAATTGTAATCCAAAACACATACCCATCATTATTATCATCATCATCATTATCATCGACGTACTTCTAGTCGTCACTATAATATTCATCTTGATAAGAAAAACCATCGTTTACATGTTGTATGTCATATTCCAAATCTATCGTGTGAAAAAAAAATAAAGATTAAATATCAAAATTAGTTGAACAACTTATCAAATTAAAACAGAAATCTATTATAAGAGCATCTTCAATCCTATTTCTGTTATTTCCTTCATTTTCCACATTCTTCTCCAACTTATCCCCATCTATTCTTCCATTTTGGGGAATATGAATAGTAATACACCAAATATGGTGTTATACAATTAATTTCTCTCAAAATAGGGATTAACTTTGTGTTGTCGGTTTTAGACTTTCTGTTTATATATTTATACATTTCTAATTTATTTTTACCTACCGATTATAATTTAAATGTAATATTTAATACTTATAATATTTTGTTATTTATTAAATTATACTAACTGATTATAAATATAAAGTTTGTGTTTTGTTCATCAAATTCTTCTGAAAAGTTAAATACATATTGAAATTGTAAAAAAAAAAACGATAACATATTTTACAAAAATTTATAAATGTGTTATAAATATAATCTTATTTTTTTAATATTATTGTAATGGAAAAAATATAGATTATATTTTTGTTAAAACAAAATTAGTAAAAATAGTACATTTGACAACTTATGTAAGTTGGAAGAATAGAATATATACTTTTTAGTGTAAAAAACAGAATATATGCCGAGATGAAATACTATTTATCTTATTTTTTTATTCTATTTTTGGGAAAAAAAATGGGTTGAAAATGGTTTAAAGAGACATTAATAATTGTCATTATCTTATTGATTTTAATTGATTTAAATCTGTAGTTTTGGTGGTATATTAAATGGCCGAAAATAATGACATGTAAAAAAGATTCAAATTTAATGAAATAAAAGTAAGTTGGTAATTCAACTATAAGATTAGAAACATTTTGAAGAAGCATGTGATAAACATTGATTCATTTATTATAATAGAAATATTTAAAACTACAACTAAAAAATAAATATATCACATACCTAAATCATAAAACATTAACAGTTTTGATGATGACAATCTCTAACCAAGACATTATTACATTTAACATGTTCTATCCATTCAAAATTTTAATGATATGATTTTGAAGGTAATAAATTAAGATTTAACGGGTCAAAAGATGCAACCAAATATATTCAAAAGTTTATCCTGCAAAAAAAGTAATGCTAATATTTTAATGATCAGGATTTCTAATAGCATATATTAATATAATAATAGAAAAATGATTACAATATTTTATTGAAATAAAAGAAAATTAAACGTAAATTGGTAATTTATTCTCAAAATTAATGTGAAAAAAATTGATTTATTAGAATAGGATAAAGTCATCCAGCTGGTCAAAATAAAATCCCACTTGTTCTTCTCCGAGTCCAACACGAGTCATCTAATGACGTAAAGAGTCCTTCCTGCATACTTCTTTCAATTCAAGATTCTGTTTTTCTTTTCAAATTCAAGAACAATCTTTATCTTTATCCGATTATATATTCATGAAACAATCGTTTCAATTCAAATTTCTGTTTCTCTGTTTTTCATTGGATTCATCTCGAATTTCTCAAGTAAGCTTCTTCCACTTCTGGAACACACACAATACTCTGTGTCAGATTGCAATGCTTATTCATAAATCATAACTCAATTCATTGTTGTTGAGATTAATCGTTTCATGTATGTGTTCTCTTCTAGATTAATGTCTTTCTTCTAAATCCAAAGTGCAACCAATCGCGCTCATACTTCCTTCAATTCAGGGCGCCAACTGGAATGTGCAAATTTCACAACGAAGACGACACAAAATTCTGAAACTTCTCTCTCTGGTTTTCGAGGTTCGTAATATCGCAAATAAACCTAGAAGATCAAATGCATAGCAATACGATTTAGGTTTATCCATGTGTCGATTTTATGAATTTTATCTGTTTATTGTTTCTGCGATTGAAAACCCTAGGTCAATTTTCATAAAAGAATTTCAATTTTACATTTTTCTATCATTTCGCTTCAATGGGAGATTATCCGTTCAAGATGAGTTAAACCCTGGTTTGAGTTATATGCGACTATTTTCCCAATCATTACGAAGTTCTCAATTGCTAAATTTATGCAACATCTTTTCATTTACTCACTTGATTTTAACGATTGTTTGTAGAAAAAATGTCGTCCGGAAATCACAGAAGGATTTCCCCAGAAGAAGTTCAGAATGTAAGTTTTTTGATTCTTGATTGCGTTTATTTACTACTTTCGATCTTTGAAATTCAATGATCATAATCTTTTTTTTATGGGTATAATTGAATTTAGGTAAAAAATCAAATCGAACAATGTCTATGGAATTACATGAACAAGAAACAAGCGATGGATATTCTCTATCAGAAACAAAACATCGAGCCTATCTTTACAAAGCTTGGTATATATATCGCAATTTGAATTAATTTTCTAATCTCTTTTCATTAAATATTCATGATTATATAATTTATAACTACTTAATTTCAGTTTGGGAGAGGCTTGAAGAAGAAAATCAAGAATTCTTCAAGACTTACTATCTCAAGTTAGCGTTGAAAAATCAAATAACGCAATTTAACGATCTGCTTTATCAACAAGCTGTAGCTGATTCAAATCAAGCGAATAACCCACATGGAGTTGCGTGTAATGGATCTCATTTACATGGAAGTAATTTCGGTTTCCATCAAGGAGTGAATCATAATAATGTTGCCGTGAAGGCGGAGAACATGCAGCAGTACAATTTTCCGGCGGTCGTGCAGGGCGGGTTTAATGGTGGTGGACCGTTTGTACAGTCGGTGATGCAAAATGGTCCGGTGAATATGGCGGTGGGTACTCAGAATGGGAATGGGGTTGCAGTCGGTGGGACTGAAGGGTATTTTGGTAATTCGAGGTTTTTCTATCAGGCGACTCATGTCAATGGCAATGGCAATGTCAACGTCAATGGTAATGGCAATGGAATGGAATCACATCATGACGTTTCATCATTCGGAAACGCGAATTCCATTCCGGTTTCATATCGGTTAAATGGAACAGTTATGGATGACACTCTTTCGAGAGGTGACTTTACTTACACTACAGGTTTTCTCTCTCTCTCTCTCTCTCTCTCTCTCTCTCTCTCTCTCTCTCTCTCTATTTTGTGGTTAATTTTTATGTGTTGTTTTTCAGGAGAAAACAGCGGAGTTGGCAATATATCAAGAAACTTCGATTTTCAGAATTTTGGGAGAGATTCGTAGAACAATAAGAGTCAATAAACTAAGGTAATGATTGCAATTGTCACTCCTTGATTTTGAAAAAATTAAAAAGTTTTTAGTCAAGACACTTGTTTTTAAACTTATGAATGTGTAACAAAAGATAGGTATGGGATTTAATAAATTAGAAATTGATAGGTCAATTGAAGAAAAAAATTACCAAAATGACCACATTTTTAATTACATTTAACTTATTATATAAAAAAAAATACATGTATTAGTTTTAGTAAATCACATCAGTTGAAAGATTTTGTTAATACATTGAAAGTGATATACTGTTGGGTATTATTTGATATTACTCTATTTTAACTTATAAAAGAAAACAAATTTATTTTAATTTTTGTAAGGAAAATTGATGGGTTAAATTAATTATTCTTTTTAATTTGATATTTGTAGAAAAATATAAGTTTTATAAACAAATAAGTTACTTATTTATTTATCTATTTGTTTTTGTTGCTGCAGGTGGTCAATTGTAAATACTAAATACAAATCTTTGTAAATAGTAATGGAAGGAAGGATTATGCGTTTCAAGTCTTGTAGATATAACGAGTTCAAAGAATTTGTAATCATTGTTTGGTATTTGACATTACAATAAAAATAAAATCGTTACGAAAGTTAGAAAATCTAACATGTTCGTTTTTTAGTTCGTTAAAATATAGTAATTTTATGAAAGATAAAACAAAATATAATAATAGCAGCTTTTATAACTCAAAATTTTGTTTGAAATTTTAGTATAATTACCACATACGTTTTTTTTTCCCCTCAGATTTATATAACAAGATTTGTTTAGTTGTATACATTAAAAGAAAAAATGGATATAAAATGTAACATAACAATAAAAACACAAATAGTACCCTCGTAATGCAAATGCGAGTACATATTAAAAACAATAAAAACACAAATCTACTCGAATCTAAAATCGTCTTCAATGTTTTATTCGTGCTTTATTTCAATCATGATTATCTTATGTTTACATGGTTCAATAATTATTAAATTTAAAGTAAATTATATAAATAGTTCACTTGGTTTTGGAATAAATTACATGTTTTATTTTTAACTTTTAACAAAAATTTATTAATTGGTCGGTGTAGTTTCAAAAATATCGTATTTCAAACTAACGATAAAAAATGTCATGTCACTGATATTTATAGTTTCGAAACCATGTAAGAATGATCATTCCGACGTTAAAACTAACTTTTCAGCTACTTTTTTATGAAAAGACAGATTTACTCTTCAACCAAATAGACAATATATAACAAACCTCAAGGACCATTCGTGTCATTTTGAAAATTTGAAATTACATATATATATATATATATATATATATATATATATATATATATATATATATATATATATATATATATATATATATATATATATATATAGAGAGAGAGAGAGAGAGAGAGAGAGAGAAAGAGAAAGATAACTATAATTAACCAAAAAACTAATGAACCAATATATATATATATATATATATATATATATATATATATATATATATATATATATATATATATATATATATATATATATATATATAGAGAGAGAGAGAGAGAGAGTTAGGTTCATGTGAGACGGTCTTATTTTGTGAGACCGTGAAATGTATTTTTTTATTTTATTTTATTTTTTAATTTTTTTTAGTTAATTCGAGTTCCGAAAATAATATTTAAAAAAAGAATTTTTGGATTTTTCCATTTATTTTGCATTTTAAAATTAATTTTTAAAATATGTCAGTGTAATATTCTATTAGAATATTTCACGTATTTAAAAAAAATAGAATTTATTTTTATTTATTTTTTATTTTTTTATTAGTTAATTCAAGTTCCGAAAATAATACTTAAAAAAAAAGTTTTTGGATTTTTCCATTTATTCTGCGTTTTAAAATTATTTTTTAGAATATGTCAGTGTAATATTCTATTAGAATATTTCACTTATTTAAAAAAAAAAAAAAACGGAATTTTTTTTTTTTTTTTTTTTAGTTGATTCAAGTTTCCGAAAATAATATTAAATTTTTTTGTTTTGGATTTTTCCATTTATTTTGCATTTTAAAATTATTTTTAGATTTGGTCTCACGGTCTTACAAAATTAGAATGGTCTCAAATAAACATGAACCTATATATATATATATATATATATATATATATATATATATATATATATATATATATATATATATATATATATATATATATATATATATATATATATTACAATTTTTTTTGCCAAAAAAAATCATAATATACATAAAAGGGGATACAAATGTTTATTAGTTATTTAAATAAAAAAATTACGAAACCGTAGGTTTTTGGGAAACCTACGGTGTACAAGTGTTTAGTGCACAAAATGTGCAATAAATGCTTATACACCGTAGGTTTCCATAAAACTTACTGTTTCGTTTTTTTATTTTTTTAATTTTAAAATATACGATTACAAGTCGACAATGCACAATCTGTGCATTGGGCACTTGTACACCGTAGGTTTCGTATGAAACCTACGATTTTATATATTTTTTTCGTTTTTTTTCAAAAAAAATTTAACCACATATATAAAACCTACTCCTAATCACAAATATGGTAAAATTTTGATGAAAAGTAGACAAACCTGGTTGTTCTTCGGGTGCTTCATTGAGAGAAAAAGTAGCCAAAACAAAGAAAACAATAGGCAAAATGACGTAATCTGAAAAAAATTTCATTATATACTTTGGATTAATAGGCCACGAAAAAGTAAACAAGCCTGTGAAATAGTAGTTCATTTGCACATAATAGTAGTTTTCTCAATAAAATAGCAGTCAAAGGCGTTAACCGTAGTCAACCCTAAGTTGACTACGGTTTTGTGGGCTATTTTTGACTAATTGGTATATTTTGGCTATTTTTTGACAAGTGATTAACAAAAAAGGCTAGATTAGTAATTAACCCTTTTTTTATTGATTCATTAAAATGAATAGTAATATTTGTTTGAATATCAAAAGTACGTTAAGTTTTGATTGAAATCTATCAAAATCCGTTGGATATATGCTCGCTCGGATTTTTGTATCCTATTCAAATATGACAAAAAAAAAATTAGTTAAAAAAATTAATTTAATAAAAGTTAAATTAGAATTCAAAATATAACTGATTAAAACAATATTATAAAAGTGGATTTTACTATCTCATCTATCTATCAAGTTTATATCTAGTGATTTTACTATATTTGGGTTTGAATCCGAGAATGATTGCCACAAACGGATAATACAGACTTTTAATGTGTAATCATCTTTCATATTATCCAATTCGTTTAAGAAATTGATGCTCTAGGCATACATTGTTACTATAAAAAAAAAAAAAAAAAAAAAAGCAAAACACATACTCTGGATTCTACTTTATGTTTATTTGGAAAATGTTTTGCAATACAACAAAATATTCTCAAACAAAACACATATATGTAGCTTAAATAATTTTTTGTTCTTGATTGAGAAATAGAGCAAAAAGGATAAGTAAGAAGTACATACAGTTAGTAGACATATCCTGTCGATGACAATGTTGGGGAACCTTTGCTCTTGTTTTCAGCAAAGGAAAAATGACAAATTTTCGTGTAAATTGATAGTCAAAACATTTCTAATGTTATATAGAAGTGAATTAAGAAGAAAGATGGGAAGTAAATCAACTCAAATGTAGTTTAAATTAAAAAAAAATAAGATATCAAAGGTTATCACTTCCTAAAAAGGAGTCGATTGAAATTAGTAAATTGTTTGTAACCTCAAAATTTCATACAAATTTTAAGAAAATGAATTTCTTTATTTAATGAATAGGGACCATTTATGAAACTTATTAAAAGAAATAGGGAGCATATATGTAAATTTAAGAAATAACACCGAAAAGTAAATGATAATGAGTAATAAAGTTCTTTATTTATAGAATTATTAGTTCCTTATTTTAAAGAATTTTGACGGAGTTGATTATTATAGAGAGACTTTATTAGAATGAATATGGTAAGTTTTAAAATCATATAAAATAGGTTATTAGTTACAATATAACATGAGCAACACATGTAACCTAATCGACATATTATATGAAGGAGGTGCAAATTAGGAATTTAACATTGAAGGGGGATTGTTGTTGAAAGCTACACGTGACGGTTAGGATTGTTTTATTAGAATGGTAGATATCAGTCTAATTACTTCATATTAATTTTGAATAATTGCCAAAAAAAATAACTGAATTATATTCCTTTTTTAATTGATTTGAATTAAATCATTTACATATGGCAGATAATAAGGTTCCCGATTTTAAAGCATAAAAAGATATTTTCGGAACAAATCAAAGGTTTAAGGATATGGGTACAATAGTAATTTGACTTTCAGATGAAATGGGCAGGAAACATTGTTGAGGTGACCGAGAAGATATGCCATGTGGCATAAAATAGACTTTTTATTAGAGAGAATTTTATAGATGGGTATGTGAGTTTTTGATTGGTCAAAAAGTATTTGTTGGATAATTATTTAGCAGTATATAAATATTTGCATATGATTTTTGTCTTATTTTAACAAATGCTTTAAATTTGTTATCTGACTGGTAATTTGTATCTGGTTATTTATGGTTGTAGTAGAGCCTTGGGATAATTTATGAAACCTAATATTTGTATTAATACTAGGTTTAAACTCGTGGAACTCCACATTTAATAAATTAAAATAGAATTAAACTTTTGATAGTGCAATAAAAGAAGATATCAAATTTTAGAAATAATGAAGAATAATGATATTTTAATTAACATGAATAAATCAAATACAATAAAGTATTATAAATTAATTAATTAATATGATGGATGAAGTGTGATACACGAAAACTAAATAAAAGATGGTAGAAAAACAACGTTTATAAATTCCCAAAAACTTCCTTGTAAACGACATTGGAAGTTTTATTTGTGAGATTACCATCTTTATTTAAAATTAACAATTTTAATCTGTCCCTGATTTTAACTCTAGATTAGGCAACATACAATTGACCATATGAAAAGATGAGATGTTTGAGAAACAAACCAACCTTGGATAATGACTGTCCCTGACTCTTATTAACGATCATTGCAAAACATACAGCCAATGGAAACTGTCTTTTTCGGAATTTGAAGGGAATTTTCTTTTCTGATGGAGTTAAAAGACATTCTTGGAATAAAAGTGCGGTTTTCAATATTAGTTCTAGATATGATACGTGCCTCAATAACACGTTTTCCTAATGATATCATCTAGAGTCTTGTCCCATTACACAATCCATTTTTCTGATCAATATTTCTCAGCAACATAACGGGAACACCGATTTTTAAAATTAACTTATGGTTTGGTAAACCAGATACTTTCAGACCATTTAAAACATCAGGTGAATATAAATTTGCATCAAACTAATCATGTAAAAATTCAGATTGGCATATAGTATCTAAGCTTAAGTATTCAATCTCATCTCCTAGAAACTTAGATAGCAAACGATTGTTTATTTCCTGAACCACTTCATTCTTTGGAGCAAGTATTGCTCTTTCTTGATAATAGCTTGTATTGTTATACTTTTCAAAAATTGAAGGATACACGAAGTCGATTAATGAACCTATATGATCATGTGGATCATTAATGAGAATATCATCT